CCATCAACATTAGTACACCAGATATTTAGGCTCTTCACTGATACTCTGTTTTCTACATGGGCAGCTCCCAACCCTCGAGGTGTGGTTCAGGCGTAGAAGATATGGAATGAGTGTGAAGACTGGATAGAGGAAAATGCCTGGGAGTGGAAGGCAGTGAGGAAGTTGGGTTATTAATAAAGGGGAGAAAGAGGGGCGTTGTTGTTCATGTGGAACAGGAATTGCTGAGGTGGAAAGAGGATAGTTATGGAGTGAGGAAAAGGAAAGGGTTGTATACTAGATGGAAGGTTATTGGGTTTGGTTGGGGGACAAAGCTGTGGAGACCAGGTGAGTTATTTGTTGTCAGCACATGGTACTGGTTGTAGCTGTATCCCTTCCTGGTTGTACTTGTTATATTCCATATGACTCCTACCTCCTTATGCCATTTCTTTCGATTCGTTGTTCTTAAAGCCATTGAAAATTGGTATGGACTCCTTATATTTGCTGACATCTTCTCACTTCTTCCCTCCTTCTTGCTCTTTTCTTGTGCAGTTATATTTTCCAGTATTTTACTTTTATTTATGTCATTCAAAGTATACCTTGCTGCAGCCTTCTATAGCTCTGGGGATATCTTTTGTCTCATGAGGATTATTGGTGCCATTTCCTTTTCAAATACGAGCTTTAGTGGTTAAATTTCTTTGGTGCATCCTACTGTTGCATACGATTCCAGTCTGTAACTTTTATCAAGTCTCTCTCAGCCTCGTATAGACATTATATTCTAAGGGTGTGTGTGTTGCTGATTTCTCTCTCTCATGCAAGACTTTGCCTTGGCGTGAGAGTTGTGGAATTCACATTGACTTAAAATTAGCAATTGACTGGATTCGTCTCCTGATGTGCACAGGACGCCTTGTGTACTCATGTGCAAAGTCCTTGCATGGGCCCAGGACTATTGCAGTTTGGCGTGTCGGCATCTAGTAATCCCTAACGGGATCAATTCCCCGACACCATGATGACCGTTGTCTTCGTTGAAGGATTATACAAGGAGCCATAAGTCAAACTGTCTGGAAACACAAGTATTAAGCTCAAGCCAAGCATGTGGAGGCTAGAGAGAGTTTGGGGTTCAGAGACTTATTGGAGGTGTGAGATCACTTTATCTCCCATGGGTGTGGCCCAAGGCCACACATCACATTCTAGTTCATGTAAGTTTATTGAGAAAATAACATACATCTCAAAATCATCGAGTAGGTTAATTAATTTCTACCCCTCTCATCGTCAGCCTGGAGTAGGTCACATTCAACGTCGTCAAAAGCTCGAGAACCTTCTCGAACATCTACCTTGTGAGTATGAAAGCTGCTCAGCGATTTCCCAGCTTTGCAAGCTGCCATTGGAGTATCCCATGCACCACTGTTTCCTACACAAAAACAGGAGCCCATCTCTCCTTGAGGCTGGGGGGGAGTACATCATTTTGTGACTGGACGGTATTGTGTTTGTAACCTCTCTGTTTTTACGCTGACCTCAGCTAAGATCCTTCAGTAAATGCTTCCCACCTGACTGACTGTGACGTTCTCTCCGCTACGCAATACTCCTGACTTCCGTCATGCAGAATCACAAGGTCGTGTCCGGTTATAGTGGATAAACACGTGGGAAACTTCGTGTATAGTAATATAAATATTTATGACTCACGTGAGCTCAAGTCGTTGACAGAGGTAACAGACTGTATCTCGCTTCATCAGAGTCATCCTCAATACAGCAAGCCTCACAGTGCTTACAATATATATATTTATATACACCTGTGCGCCCTATGGGACGATTGCACTATGGAAGATAGTTATCTTCAGATAACTATATACCAGCCGAGACTTAGACTGTGTGCAGTGTAAAAAGTTATTACAGGCTAACCCAAACGATTATGTTTGGGTTAACAAACGATTACGTTTGGCGTGTTAACCCAAACGATTACGTTTGGCGTGTTAACCCAAACGATTACGTTTGGGTTAACACGTCGTGTAACAGTGTAGTCACCCCTGTGATCACTCATCACATTTACTTACCCAAGCACGCACACCACTTATGAATAATTGCATGTGAGGATTGCCTCGTTGCCCACCAGGGGGTTCGAACGTGCTCGCCTGACCTGCCAGCTGCTGCTAGGTGGCGGGTGCAGTTTGGCGTGTCGGCACCATGGGGGCCCCCCCTCCCCCCTGTTGTGCGTGCCCAGTCTATAGGCCTCGAGTTTTCTGCTCGAGCGGGATATCCTGAGGTGGGATTGGTGCTGTGTGACATGCTGCGGGTCCCTGTGGGGGATATTTATGGCGTTGAGCTGGTGATTGTTAAAATAACGACAGAGGAGGTGTATATGGCGTTTTTACGTCGCTACGAGGGGCGGACCTTGCCCCTGCCCGAAGGTGCGGGCACTGTGACTGTCTCCGATCGCAGTGGTGCTGTCACGTATGTAAGCATGCATGGGGCGCCCCTGGAGTACCGAAGGGGCTACTGAGGCGTTATTTCGGCCAGTTTGGGGCGGTCATCAGTGAGCGGTTGCACCTGCTCTCCTCTGGTCCGCTTAAGGGTGTGCGGTCAAATATTCGCACCCTAGGAATGAGGCTGCGGGCGGACATTCCATCTCAGGTGAAGCTTCTGGGGTGTTCTGTTCAGGTGTTTTATGCTCGTCAACCCCGTACGTGTTACCGTTGTGGCCTCTTGGGCCATCAGGCTGCTGGGTGCTCTGAACCTGCCATCGCGCCCATCAACCTCTTCCGTGAGGAGGATTTCCCGCCGCTCCCTGTGAATAGGGATTCAGAGGCTGTGGATGTGGACGACTCTTTGGCTGCTGCCGTGTCTCGTGTGTCGCCTGATGCGCCTCCTGCTGATGTCGCCCCTCCTCCGGAGGCTGTGTCGCCTGTTGTGGTTGCCTCTCCTCAGGAGGTTGTGTCACCGTCGAGTGTTCGTCCTGCCCCGGTTGATGTCCTGGATACTCTCATGGTTCTTCCGCCTCCAGTCTGCACGACTCCCAGAGAGCTGCACGAGAGCCCCCAAGCATGGGGGTTCTCGGGGTGGTTCCTCTCACGCCGGTTCCTCGTTACGTCTTTAAACTGCAGTTACGCCGCCGGTAACTGCATAACGCTTGCCTCCAGCTGCTTTGTGTACAGGTTTTAATGTAAAACTTTCATTGTCACTGTTATTTTTGAGTTAGTGTAAGTTTGTACATGTATTTCTGTTATTAATGATATTTTAGTGTGTTAGCCAAGTGTGTCAAGTCAGGGGTTTTGTGTGTTTATCATATTTTATTTGTTTATTTTCATATTAGAGTAAATTGTCATAAATTTTGCTTGACTATTCCTTCACTCCTGTGCAATTTTCACACTGCAAAGGCCAATGTGGCATTTTTTTTATTAATGAGAAGTATGTGCCACATTTCACTGGCCCGGTATAGCAGCAGTACCGTTGCACGTCGCAGTTGTGTACTCTGATCTGTTACAATTCTGAATGAAAATATTATTATCGCTACTGTACCTGTATTTTTGATTGACAGAAGTGTTGTAAGTGTCCCGTTGTACATCCGTCGATTACCCTTGTAGTTGTTAGTGCTAAAGAATGTTGTCATGAGTGTAAAAGTTAGTTCACTATGTGCCTTTGCAAGAGGCTGCTAGACTGATTTCTTTCTAATCATTCTGGCCCCTTTGGACCGTGTCCTGCTGGGAGATGATCACTGCGTAGTTTTGTGGCAGTGAAACTCTCTCTTAACATAAAGATCTCGTGTGTAATAGCGTTAATTTACTTTAATAAAGTAGAGTTAAATTACACAATTAAATTGCTTTCAATTAAAATCTTTTCTCCATACTACTCTCACATATAACTATCATACAACTCCCTTATTCACTTAATGATTCTTGGCATGTTCTCAAGGGAAGAGCTGCTCCAAAGCCTTACACCTTTATAAATATTAATGTGGTGAACATCAAGCGTTCAACGCCTTCTTGCAAATTCCGACGACGGAAACAAAACGACAACCAACCACAAGATTACGATATCCTATAGGAAGATATCATTACTTGGTGTCATCATCACGGCCACTGGTGTGTCGGTGTCTTGTGGTAGCTCTTTGTGAACTCAGTGTGGACTATTGCAAGTGCCACGAGCAATTGCAGATCCTCTAAGGACCCAGATATTACACTTGGTTTCCTTTGCCATTTCTGAAGGCTTTTCATAATCAGTGTTCTCTCATTTTGAATTATCACAGTTTTCAGATCTTTTATGTTTAGGGAGTTTGCTATTCGCAGACCACCATCCACCATTTTTTCTCAACTACCTTATTTTTCATGACTTCTTGGGCTCATGTTTTCCAATTTTCAAAGTTACAGCTCTCTAATTTATCTTCTGTGGGTTTCAACCTTCCCTGGTATTAACATTAATACCTCCAGGCGATGAGACACAATAACGTGGCTGAAGTATGTTGACCAATCCACACACTAGAAAATGAAGGGACGACGACGTTTCGGTCCGTCCTGGACCATTCTCAAGTCGATTGTGAATGGTCCAGGACGAACTGAAACGTCGTCGTCCCATCATTTTCTAGTATGTGGATTGGTCAACATTAATAGCTGCCTCCACTGCTCGTGTTTTCTGCACTTCCTCTCCCAGTTTATAAAGTTTTCATTCACATCACTCAATTAGTTCTGCCAATTAGGACTTCCAGAAGGTACCCATATATTAAAATGGTTCATTATATTTCGTATCTGTTTCTGCCTTCTGTATCTGCATTCTCTGCATTTCTCCCTTCACAATATTCGGTTCAACCCCAAAACCTGTATTAATACTTCAGCATATCTAGATCAATCTCATCGCTCCTCATCCCTTCCTTGAACCCTTTTCACCCCTTCCATTACCCTATAATCCCTTCTTCACGCTATTTCCCATGGAAAATGGGAAATAACGTGAATCTCATAATTCGTGAATTATGAGATTCATAGCGTGAATCTCCTCATAATTCCTCCCTTCCACCAAGAACCCCATCCGGCACCTACTTGCTGTAGAGGAGCATCTCGCCGCCTATCCTAGTGAGGTTGCTAAGGAAGCCGAGGGATGTGAGGTTGGAGCGGAAGATCTTGAGGAAGCCAGTGATCTCCTGGATGCTGCTTAGGTTCTCTTCCAATTCCCTCTCGATGTTTTCTGCCGGAGCCAGGTGCAAAGAAAGAAAAAATGGTCGTAATTTGAGAGATGATTCAGGAAAATATATATACTGTAGTACAATGAAATAAAGACGTTGATACTGAGATATCAATAGCTATACTTATACCTGTATGTGTGCACGTACACACACACACACACACACACACACACACACACACACACACTAGAAAGAACTTTTTTAGTGTCAGAGTGGTTGACAAATGGAATGCATTAGGCAGTGATGTGGTGGAGGCTGACTCCATACACAGTTTCAAGTGTAGATATGATAGAGCCCAATAGGCTCAGGAACCTGTACACCTGTTGATTAACGGTTGAGAGGCAAGACCAGAGAGCCAGAGCTCAACCCCCGCAAGCACAATTTGGTGAGTACAATTAGGTGAGCACACACACAGTGAAGAAGTTTTATATATATTATGTGTTAAATTCTACATGATTTACATAAAAATTTTGTATAGGGTTTTCTGTTTTCTTCCAGTTGTTTGTTTTTTGGCATTTTAGTCAGTTAATATATGTTAATTATAAATTTATATCTATAAATGGAAATGTGTCTATTCAAAAGTAGATGCCATATACTAGGGGATAGCTCCACGATTTTTTCAATAAAGAAAATATAAACATGTGGTTTGTCAAAGGAAATATAGACATGTGAATATATATTAAATTCTTGGCTAAGGTTAATGAAGACTTTAGAAGCATGGGCAGAGGATAAATATGTAAATAAGGGACTTGACATGAGATGTCGAGTTTGTTGGCAAAGCATGAGTCTCACTGCAGGTGTCTTGACCTCACTGGAGCAGCAGAGGTCGTGAGAGAAGTTGTACTGTGTTTGTGCTCCTGGCAGTACCTCTAATTTTGTGCTCCGTCAAGAGGAGGGGGACCAGTCAAGTGTTTGTGTATGAAGCCTGAAGACGACTTAGTGCTCGAGTCTGGAATAAGAGAGGTCACGTGAAGCAGCTTTATAGCAATTTTGTGGGCTCACAAGTGGGATCACAAGTGTCGACGACTGGGGCCTGAGCGCTCCCCGCATCAGATAAATTCTGTGGTAAGACTGTTTAACCAGTTGTTAGTGATTGCCTGTATTTGATTGTGTGCCCAGCGATCGTGGCAAGTGTTTATAGGTATATTAGATATATTTTATTAAGGCAGTAGGTTTAAATAAGAGAGTAAAGATGAAGCAACCAGCTGGAGTAGGCGGCGACATGTCCATCCTTTCCAAGCGTCAGTTGGTGACTGAGGTAGACAGCCTCGTGAAACGGCGGCCCAGGGAGGTGGAGCATGGCCTCGCCCGAACGGAGGAGTGGACCTCACGACGTGTGAGAGTTTAAAGAGATGTAGAGTGAAGGAGACTTATTTTTCTTGCGAATACATTTAGTTATACTTTAGTAGAGAACCATTTTTATTCACATGGCAATTGAAATTGCAGGTTTGTTAGGAAGAAAAGTTGATGGAACTTCGAGGCCAAAGAAGAAGTTAATGGATGGAACTTCAAGGCTGTAAAAGTGAATGCTGAACTCTGTGGAAGAGCAGAGCCCCATAGTGAAGGGTGGACCTCAATCTGTGAAGAGGAGAAGTGAAGTTCCAGGTGCTTCTGTGGGATCAGTGGTGGAGCATCGCTGATATTTGTGGAGAACTTCATTGTGTAGCAGTCTGGGAGGACTGCAGATGACCCTTGTTGACATTTCTAGGAGTTATACATGGTAGTGAGTCTCTAGGTGCAGGTGGAGGTTCATGGGAATCACACATAATGTGTAATGAGAGTGCTTGAATGCTCATTGGCATGTAAGACGCAGTGGAAGGTGAGAGATTGATTATTTTTGTGTTGGGGAATTTCTATGCTGATGTTTCTAGTGTCTCAGCCACAGGCAGAGCTTTATATATTTTTAGGACTGATTGTGTAATATTGAAGTTTCTTGTGTTGCAGCTATAGGCCGAGTTATATATATATATATATATATATATATATATATATATATATATATATATATATATATATATATATATATATATATATATATATATATATATATATATATATATATATATATATATATATATATATATATATATATATATATATATATATATATATATATATATATATATATATATATATATATATATATATATATATATATATATTGTCGGGGTTTACTCGGCGAGCAACAGTATACTCAAGGTCACTCACCGTAGCCCTGCGGGTCTTCACTCTATCCTCGCGGCGCCACTGTACGCCAGGAGAGTATCCCAGTCAATCCCAACCGGCCTCTGATCGAGGAGTGGGAACACAACTTGTTCACTCAACTATTGTGTGCCCGCCCTGTCATGGGCTCTACTACTACCCACAAGGTCGCCAACTGGTGTTTCCGGTGTCCAGTAACACGTCAGTGGTTTTGTTGAATTGTGGTAACAGTGGCAAGGACACACACTCAATAGATCTGATATCAGGCAGGTATTTACTTCTATCACGATCTGCTGTCAGGTATTATATAGCCACAAGAAATATGGAGGGGATGATATAAACACCAATGTACTTTGTATTTTACTTAAAACTCATTCAAAAACATCACAAGATTATATCAATAAGCAAACAGCTGTTTCAGGCGGGAGTCGCTCGTTCCCACACATATAATATGAACTCACCAAGCCGGCAATGCTCCCCCTCACGTCAATGTCAAAATCAGCTGGGCGACTACCCCCACATGAATGTTATTTTATCTGTTTGCTTGTGGCGTGACGCGCCAATTTCTTTAAGTTCTCAAAGATCACTAGAAGTTCGAACCCACAATATTTGCGACAATAGCACGTAAATACTTCGCTACACTGATTTTGGGCTCAATCAAACATTTCTATATTAAAGGTGACAATAATTCACTGTCATGGTATTACACACTGCCCTTCATTTAATGATAACGTATGCAAGTATATATCACTGGAGTTCTCAGTAATTCCTTTCGTGGGCGATAACACAATTAATCACTGCACACATGAATGATTATTCAATACACGAGCATAGACATATATATATATGTGGATGAGTCATAGACATCAATAATGGTGATAACATAGTTACTGGGCACATAGCCTAACTCCAAATACTGGCATATTCATATATATATATTCTCTCACTAAATGATCGTATTAAAGTCTCATTAAAGACATTATCAACACAGTAAATTCATCAATTACTCCGGGTGCCTGTACACACCAATAATAATCATAAATATCGTGGGTACTTTATGTAGCCCCACTGCACACTTGTGCCTTACTGCGACATAGGTGAGCCTTGCTCACGACATACAAAATACTCTGGCTAAATAATATAGCTGACTAAAGGGGAATTGGGAGGGAAACTAGAATCACCTACTTCCACCTATCCTCCGGTGAGAGTTGAATTGTAGCTCCTGGTCCTGGCTCCTGCCTCGTGTAGGGAACGCCCCCACACACACACTGTCGTGTCCTCCAGGAACTCAATCAACGTCCCACCATAAGCGCGTAGTCTCCGTGCCTTTTCACTGCAGGTCAGTGCTCCTCCTCGACTTCTCGTAGGGTTGGAGTCGGTCTCCCGGCCGTCGACTTCTCCTCCCAGCTACGGCTGCCCACCTACGTCTTGGCTGCAGTCGTTCGGATTCCCGAATAGTTTTCTTCTTCCATTGCTTCCCGGTGGCTCGGTCCAGCCACTACGCCGTCACAAACGGGTGAACTGCCTCAGACGTCACATACGTCACTGCACAGACTTCACTTCTTCTTGCACAGTACCTGTCCTGGAGCACTTGTTGCTCAATATCCCGTCGATTCCCTCTCTGGTCCAACACATGAACGAAGGAAGACCTCACAGAGTACTGGCAGACTTCGGGTGACGCGTAAAATCCACGGGAACGGGAAACAACTGTCAAACTGACAGGACCAATCTTCGCACGTCCAACCACCTTGACGTGTCGTGTCAGACTGATTCCCTCCGGAGGATTGGTCCATCCATTACGTCATCACTGTGGAGCTATCAGCCGTCGCATACGTCGCTGCCTAGACTCCACTCTTGCATAACACCTGTTCCTGGAGCACTTGTTTCTCAATATTCTGTCAATTCCTTCTCTGGTCCAACACATGAACGAAGGAAGACCCCACAGGTGATGGCAGACCACGGGTGATGCGTAAATCCTCCGGAGTCGGGGTAAACTGTCGAACTGACAGGACCCCCCAGCGCAAGTCCGACCTCCTTGACGTGCTGTCTTAGACTGATGGCGCCAGCGCGGCGCGATGACCGGACCCCCTTCCTTCGTGACGTCATATTCGCCACGGGAGGTTTTCATTGGCTCCCTGTGCCACGTCGCTGTCGGTGACCAATCTGGTGTCACTGACGTCACACAGTTTTGGCGGGAAAACGGAGGGGCCAGCGCCATATTGGCTTCCTAAAGGGCCTAAACCACAGCCCAAAATACTCTTCTTTTAAGAATTTCTCGGCACTTCGAGAACACTACATTCTCCCACATATACCAAACTGATGCCTGCGACGTAGAGAACGCTCGGGTAAAGTGGACATGACTCTTACTGCAGGCGTGGGAGAAATATAAGGGGGGGGAACACCGTCACATACCCCTCCCCTTAAAATAAGAGTCATGTCGGGTGAGTGTATACAGGACAGGGCATCTGCTACCACGTTGTCTTCCCATCGGATGAGTTTAATTTCCAACCAGTATTCCTGCTGCCAATGCGAAACGCTCCTTACGTATCCGTTGACCGTTCCCACGGCCACTCCTGGTGTCCATTATTCCTTCAGCATGGACAGAGGACTTCGCACCTCTTGTCCATACACCAGCTGGAAAGGTGAGAAACTTAACGATTCCACCACTGCGTTACGCATGGCAAACAACGCAGGGCACACTGATTCCTCACACTCAGTTCCCTGCTCTGTGCAGAACACTCTTATCAGCATGCCGTCCTGTATGTAACAATGATTGGCCCTCTCAGGACAAACACGTCCT